TATTATTATTGTTAACTTATATTTGTAAATATGTATAACATTTAAGTTGTTTATAAAATAATTTCACATTTTTTATTAAATATTCGTATATAATTTAATTTTAAATAAATAAATAATACAAAATAATATCTACATCACAAATAAATAATATAAATAACATTCTTATTCTTTAATTTTAACATCGGTATGTTTCTCGATCCAATCTAAATAACTCGTAATTCTCGTATACACAGTAGGCCACATGCTTTCGCATCCAAATCCAGATCCAAAAGATACAAGTCCAACTTGCACGTTATCAACAACGATCGGACCACCGCTATCACCTCTGCAAGCCGATACTTGACTGGTGTGCCCTTCGGAACAAATGTGACTATCACGGACCGCCCCAAAGAAAAATAGAGAACAAAGCCAGTTTTCCATAATGAAGGATTCAGCGGACTTCAAAACGTCAGAAATTCCAGTGGCATCATCGGATGTTATTCCCCAACCGCTGACTCTTGCATCTTCATCAACGAAAGAATGACTTTCGTGTTTGCGACTGGGCAAAGAAACGGTGTTGATGTGTTTGTTCAGCTTTACAGGGTTGGGTAACTGAATAAGTCCGATATCATACAAATTTCCATTTGTTCCGTAAAGTTCATGTGTACGCAATTCGGATGATTTTATTCTTATTTGGGTGGGTTCGTCTTCCCAAATGTGATGGGCACCGAGTATGACTTCAGCAGATAAAGATCTATAAATAATGGAGAAATATTGTATTTTTTTGTATTGTTTTAAATTAAATTGATTTTACCCATTGGTGCAATGCGCTGCTGTTAAGATGTATCGATTAGAAATTAAAGAACCTCCACAAAAACCTTGTTTACCATTGGGAAGGTTAAAGAAAATTCCTGCTTGGTATGGGATTGAGTGTCGCTCGACTTCATTTCCATTGATGATTTTGTTATCGTTAGGTGATTTCGATAATATTAGGCGATGAAGAGATTTAGGTGGGAATACTTTTGGTTGAAGATCCTCGACATGGTGGTTGTTGGCCTAATTTTAATAATTAGTAATTTTCAAAAACAATATTAAGGATTTTCTTACCTGAACCAATGTAGAAATAACCCCCAAAAAGATTAAGGTGAACATTTTTATTTTGTAGAAAAGATTTTCTTATTGAATTGAGTTTTCGATTTGTTTGAAATGTGAATGATTGCGTAGGGTTTATATACTACATTTAGGATAACAAATTGATCCTAATCTTTCTCTAATCCTTAATAGATTATTGTCAATCATAGATAATTGTTATTAATTGCGGTCTCGTGTGCTACCTTATTTATTTATTTTTCCGCGGAATTCCGCAAACGATTTGCAGTTATACCTGTTTTTATTAAAAGCACAACAATAAACAAAACAAATTTGTATAAAATAACAAATACTCCTATTTTCTTTTTAAGTAAGAAGTTGGGCGATTCAATTCTATTTTTGAAGATCTGAATGGTTTAAATAAAACGCAACGAGATCTTCGCATTAAATAAACTACTTTTTGCCGTTAATCCTATTGTTGAATTTGATCGTAAAATACCTAAATTGTATTCTACTATACAGAAAACATGTTTTGGATTATCAAATGAATCGTTTACATTTTTTTATTTCTCGCAAATAAATAAGCTATTGTCCATAACAAATCGATCTGTTTATTTTTGAATATATCCTTTGCTGTTTTTGCATTAAATAGTTTTCACATCTTGTTTTGTAGTCTATCTTTATCGTAAATGCACCTTTAGATCATTAGAAATATTTTGAAACTTCGGACATCTCTCTATGGGTGGTATTTTTGGTATCAAAGGATCGTTAATGTCAAAGGGATACCAGAGAGGTTTTAATATATCCTCCTACAAATAGATATTTGGGGATCTTTTGATACTATTAAAACATCTTTAACATCATAACACTATCAGGATGGTTGCTACATTGATACCATATCGATGAAAAGATCGACAGTTTTTAAGGATGTATGGTTCAAATAAGCCGAATAAAGCTGGATAATCTGCAAAAATGCATAACTTAATCAATCCGAGGTCGCTTGCGGCTGACGCACTACATTAATACCTTTTCGATGGAAACCTGAACACTGTTCAAGAACTTAGGATTCAAATAAGCCGAGGTTGCGTCCGAGACGCTTCATCTATAGGTCGATACCACAGGTTTGGTATACTTTTAGCCAGATCGGCGAAGAAGTTATGCATAGAATTAGTATGGTTCAAGTGAAGAAGGAACTCATTGTATTTGTCCTCAAAATTACAGATTCACAGGAAATATTTTTATTATTAACATTATTCGTTATACATTCAAAAGTAAGGTGGATAGTGAGCTGTGAATTTATCATTAACTTTAAATTTTCAGTTAACAAAGATAGTTTGAATACAAAAAAGCATTGGTTTTATTTGTGCATGTTGGTCAAGCACATGTATTTGTAAATATATATATAACATCAAAGTTGTTTAAATAATTTCACATTTTTTATTAAATATTCGCTTATAATTTAATTCTAAATAAATAATACAAAATAATATCTACATCACAAATAAATAATATAAATAAATTCTTATTCTTTAATTTTAACATCGGTATGCTTTTCGATCCAATCTAAATAACTCGTAATTCTCGTATACACAGTAGGCCACATGCTTTCGCATCCAAATCCAGATCCAAAAGATACAAGTCCAACTTGCACGTTATCAACAACGATCGGACCACCGCTATCACCTCTGCAAGCCGATACTTGACTGGTGTGCCCTTCGGAACAAATGTGACTATCACGGACCGCCCCAAAGAAAAATAGAGAACAAAGCCAGTTTTCCATAATGAAGGATTCAGCGGACTTCAAAACGTCAGAAATTCCAGTGGCATCATCGGATGTTATTCCCCAACCGCTGACTCTTGCATCTTCATCAACGAAAGAATGACTTTCGTGTTTGCGACTGGGCAAAGAAACGGTGTTGATGTGTTTGTTCAGCTTTACAGGGTTGGGTAACTGAATAAGTCCGATATCATACAAATTTCCATTTGTTCCGTAAAGTTCATGTGTACGCAATTCGGATGATTTTATTCTTATTTGGGTGGGTTCGTCTTCCCAAATGTGATGGGCACCGAGTATGACTTCAGCAGATAAAGATCTATAAATAATGGAGAAATATTGTATTTTTTTGTATTGTTTTAAATTAAATTGATTTTACCCATTGGTGCAATGCGCTGCTGTTAAGATGTATCGATTAGAAATTAAAGAACCTCCACAAAAACCTTGTTTACCATTGGGGAGGTCAAAGAAAATTCCAGCTTGGTATGGAATAGAATGCTTATCAACTTCGTTTCCGTTGATGATTTTGTTGTCGATGCGCGATTTAGATAATATTAGGCGATGAAGAGATTTGGGTGGGAATACTTTTGGTTGAAGATCCTCGACATGGTGGTTGTTGGCCTAATTTTAATAATTAATAATTTTCAAAAATTATATTAAGTACATTCTTACCTGAGCCAATGTAAAAATAGCCCCCAAAAAGATTAAGGTGAACATTTTTATTTTGTAGAAAAGATTTTCTTATTGAATTGAGTTTTCGATTTGTTTGAAATGTGAATGATCGCGTAGAGTTTATATACTACATTTAGGATAACAAATTGATCCTAATCTTTCTCTAATCCTTAATAGATTATTGTCAATCATAGATAATTATTATTAATTGCGGTCTCGTGTGCTACCTTATTTATTTATTTTTCCGCGGAATTCCGCAAACGATTTGCAGTTATACCTGTTTTTATTAAAAGCACAACAATAAACAAAACAAATTTGTATAAAATAACAAATACTCCTATTTTCTTTTTAAGTAAGAAGTTGGGCGATTCAATTCTATTTTTGAAGATCTGAATGGTTTAAATAAAACGCAACGAGATCTTCGCATTAAATAAACTACTTTTTGCCGTTAATCCTATTGTTGAATTTGGTCGTAAAATACCTAAATTGTATTCTACTATACAGAAAACATGTTTTGGATTATTAAATGAATCGTTTACATTTTTTTATTTCTCGTAAATAAATAAGCTATTGTCCATAACAAATCGATCTGTTTATTTTTGAATATATCCTTTGCTGTTTTTGCATTAAATAGTTTTCACATCTTGTTTTGTAGTCTATCTTTATCGTAAATGCACCTTTATCATTAGAAATATTTTGAAACTTCGGACATCTCTTTATGGGTGGTATTTTTGGTATCAAAGGATCGTTAATGTCAAAGGAATGCCAGAGAGGTTTTAATATATCCTCCTATAAATAGATATTTGGGGATCTTTTGATACTATTAAAACATCTTTGACATCATAACATTATCAGGATGGTTGCTACATTGATACCATATCGATGAAAAGATGGACAGTTTTTATGGATGTATGGTTCAAATAAGCCGAATAAAGCTGGATAATCTGCAAAAATGTATAACTTAATCAATCCGAGGTCGCTTGCGGCTGAGGCACTACATTAATACCTTTTCGATGGAAACCTGAACACTGTTCAAGAACTTAGGATTCAAATAAGCCGAGGTTGTGTCCGAGACGCTTCATCTATAGGTCGATACCACAGGTTTGGTATACTTTTAGCCAGATCGGCGAAGAAGTTATGCATAGAATTAATATGGTTCAAGTGAAGAAGGAACTCATTGTATTTGTCCTCAAGATTACAGATTCAAAGGAAATATTTTTATTATGAACAGTATTCGTTATACATTCAAAAGTAAGGCGGATAGTGAGCTGTGAATTTATCATTAACTTTAAATTTTCAGTTAACAAAGATAGTTTGAATACAAAAAAGCATTAGTTTTATTTGTGCATGTTGGTCAAGCACATATATTTGTAAATATATATATAACATCAAAGTTGTTTAAATAATTTCACATTTTTTATTAAATATTCGTATATAATTTAATTCTGAATAAATAATACAAAATAATGTCTACATCACAAATAAATAATATAAATAACATTCTTATTCTTTAATTTTAACATCGGTATGTTTCTCGATCCAATCTAAATAACTCGTAATTCTCGTATACACAGTAGGCCACATGCTTTCGCATCCAAATCCAGATCCAAAAGATACAAGTCCAACTTGCACGTTATCAACAACGATCGGACCACCGCTATCACCTCTGCAAGCCGATACTTGACTGGTGTGCCCTTCGGAACAAATGTGACTATCACGGACCGCCCCAAAGAAAAATAGAGAACAAAGCCAGTTTTCCATAATGAAGGATTCAGCGGACTTCAAAACGTCAGAAATTCCAGTGGCATCATCGGATGTTATTCCCCAACCGCTGACTCTTGCATCTTCATCAACGAAAGAATGACTTTCGTGTTTGCGACTGGGCAAAGAAACGGTGTTGATGTGTTTGTTCAGCTTTACAGGGTTGGGTAACTGAATAAGTCCGATATCATACAAATTTCCATTTGTTCCGTAAAGTTCATGTGTACGCAATTCGGATGATTTTATTCTTATTTGGGTGGGTTCGTCTTCCCAAATGTGATGGGCACCGAGTATGACTTCAGCAGATAAAGATCTATAAATAATGGAGAAATATTGTATTTTTTTGTATTGTTTTAAATTAAATTGATTTTACCCATTGGTGCAATGCGCTGCTGTTAAGATGTATCGATTAGAAATTAAAGAACCTCCACAAAAACCTTGTTTACCATTGGGAAGGTTAAAGAAAATTCCTGCTTGGTATGGGATTGAGTGTCGCTCGACTTCGTTTCCGTTGATGATTTTGTTGTCGATGCGCGATTTTGATAATATTAGGCGATGAAGAGATTTGGGTGGGAATACTTTTGGTTGAAGATCCTCGACATGGTGGTTGTTGGCCTAATTTTAATAATTAATAATTTTCAAAAATAATATTAAGTACATTCTTACCTGAGCCAATGTAAAAATAGCCCCCAAAAGGATTAAGGTGAACATTTTTATTTTGTAGAAAAGATTTTCTTATTGAATTGAGTTTTCGATTTGTTTGAAATGTGAATGATCGCGTAGAGTTTATATACTACATCTAGGATAACAAATTGATCCTAATCTTTCTCTAATCCTTAATAGATTATTGTCAATCATAGATAATTATTATTAATTGCGGTCTCATGTGCTGCCTTATTTATTTATTTTTCTTTTCTCTATTTTCTTTTTATATAAAAATTTGGACCATTGAATTTTATGTTTTGAAGATGGAATGATTTCAAATAAAACGCAACTAAATCTTCGCATTAAATAAACTGCTTTTGGTATTATTAATCCTATTGTTGTAGAAAACATGTTTTGGATTATTAGAGATGAATAAAGAAACTATTGTCCACAACAAAATCTGATTTAAAGTTTTGCAATATCCTCGTTTATTTACAAACAGAAGCTTATCTTTAATGAATATAAACTTTAAAAATATTTATGTTTACTTTATAAGCAATCATAAATTTGATTCGTCTCATTTCTATTTCAGATTACACCGAGATGGTTTATTCAAAAGTAAGAGTTTTGCGCACGTAGGAAGTGATGCTGATCCTCTTTCCCTGTTAAGCCAAACGGCCATGACTAGTACAATTAACGAATTACGTGCAAAATTAAAAGAAAGCGGGGAGAGCGATTGGAAGAAGAGAATTCCAAAGCTAAATAATGCAAATGATGAGATAAGCCGTTTGAATGTTAAGAATCTTTACAATGTAAGTATTTTTTTTTAATGCTAACGTAATCTTTTTTTCATCAAAACTAATTCTATTTTTAAAACCACGTGTGTCTCCGTGTGGTATTACGGTTTTTACGCTTCGGCTGTTTACCAACCAAAAATAAACTCAACTCTACCTACTACGAAGCTATAGAGCGTCATATAATGACCACAACATTACGTTGATCCATTTAACATTCACGAACGAACCGGTGAAGTGAGTGGGTGTTTTGAAATTTCATCAAAATTTTTTTAATTTAAATAAATTTTATCAAAAAAAATATATCCATTTTCTGTTTCTTATCTTTTCTATATCATTTTTCGCGGTAAACTTAAACATCACTATCTACATCCTCCACGTTTTAAACAATGTTGACTCGTGTAACCGCGTTAGTTTATCGTTAACATTTAAAATAAACCCATCGTGTACAATTAGTTAATAAAAATGATTGAGTGTATATTTACGGTGTTCGCGGTTATCTTTTTGTTTTATTTTCTGAAGAACAATCGTGTTCAACAGGAGAAACTCAACGAGAAGACATCAATCCTTGCGGCTAAGAAAGATGAGCTCGACGCCGCTTCGGAACAATGGAGATCCAGAGTCGAAAAGAGCGATGCCGACAAGTTTTCCGTTGCCGGAAGGATGGAGATACAAGAGATCGCCATCAATATTCCTAATGGTGACAAAACGAAAAGAATACCATCAGCAAAACGATTCAGAGGAAAAGCAGGTAAATTATTAGCTACAACAAAATTAGTTACATTTTAAAATTAAATAACTTTCTAGATAAAAAAATTCTTATTTCTATTTTAAACTATTAACTCATTAAAATAACATTTTGCATTCATAGCAGACAACTTATTTTTCATATCGAAACAGTATCTCGTGAACATCTAATCTACTTTCGTCCGATCTAATCTACTTTTAAAAATACCGTGACGTATAAACTTTGTATTTATCCTCACTTATTAATCTATGTCGATAAAAACTTTACTGTTACGCATTAGTCATGGTCCCCATTGAAAATTCTTTACACCGTTTGAGTAAGAACGTTTTTATTACAACAAATTTACCGTTATCAAAAAAAAATTTTCGTTACATCTAATTTTTTTAAATTCCAGGAATCAAAACTGACGGATCTATATCTCCACTATCAGAAACGCCTTCGCCGCCAGAAGAAGTTACTTTTAAACGAAGCATATCCGTTCCAGGATCAAACGATGATTCAGGTATAAAAATAGTTTTCTTCTATTTATATTGTTAAATTTATTATTTAATTTTTTTCTCTTTAGACTTGACTTCTTTAAGATCTTCTGGAAGAAAAGTAAAGGTATTAAAACCCGACGACGATACGTTCACGAGTTTCTTTAAGAAAACTGAAGATTTCGAAGCTGTCGAAAGCTTAACATTGACTGTTAACGATTTGGATGCGGTTACGAGAAGTAGTCAAAATTTATTGGCTCAAAAACGTACGGTGAAAGTTCAAAGGCGCAGAGAAGCTACGAAAAATCCAATTAAAGCGTTACTATCCAGACCGGATATTGTTGATGAATACACTGAAGTATCTATTGGTGTTGGAGAGAGAGAACAAAAAAGACTGAATGTTGATAAATGTAAGTACAAAAAAAGTTTAGTTTTTCAATAATTTATTAACGTTAATCATTCCGTTTTATATTACAACGGTTCTTAAATGTCAATGTTCGATTAACATAAACCGGAAAGTTTTTAATATTTATTTTTATGCATTGATGTGAATCATATCCGTTTGATATCTAAAGGGTATTTTACGCAATTAAAATAATGTTATAGAATTGTTATTTAAACTAATCTAGAAATATTTCGATATTTAATATTTATGTACAAACGTAACATAAAAAAATGAGAAGAATGTTCTTAACTCTCAAATTAGTGCTGCCAATGATTTTTTAAAACTCCACTCTTTGTAGCACCAATACTAGCAGATAGATTTTCTTTTGAGATATTGTCTCAAGCATTCTGTAATTTGTGATTGAGATATTGAAGCGTACAATGGCAAAGGTTGACACATTATGATTTGCAAATCTGTCCATAAAACATCCTATACAATATGAGGATGTTATCCTACTAGAAAAGTAGGTTCCTCTTTTGCTATATTTCTCATCTTCCTTAATCTATTCTTGATAGTAACGCACAATAGAAGATTGATGACTGACCAAGTCACATGGGGATGGAATCCTCAACAGAATCTGATGATTAATTGTCGAAACTTTTTAAAAATTCAGTCATGTGTGGTTCTTACACATCATCGGTTATGCATTTCCTTCTTTCCGTGGAAAACTCGCAATCAAGTCAGTCTCTGATGTTGCCAACATCATAATGAAAGGATTCTTAATAGAATAATGATCAAATGGAACATCTAGCAGTAATGCCACGCATGTTATCGCTCCATGTATAAAGCAGTACTACAATTATGACCATCTCTAAACAAGGACGAACATTCTACAAATTTGTTGCTATTTTTTGCAAAACTAGAAAGTTTAATGTCCATAATGTTTTTCCAAAATTTTTTACTTTATGGGCAATAAAGCTATAGGTCTTCCAATTGACTCAAATCGTAAATAGATATATCAAGGACGATATAGGCATATAATGATGATGTTAAGGAAGGCGGAGAAGATATTAGGGGAAAATAGGTATGATGTCGAGATATATCAGAGACTATAATTACTTAATTAGTGATATTAAGGGGATGATGTTGAGAAATGTTTAAGATTATGTTGACAGATATCAAAGACAATATTAAGAAACATCTAGGTAATGTTAAGGAAGGCCAGGCACGATATGATGTTAAGGAAGATATTGAGGAATATCAAAGCTAATGTACAAAAATATCTGGGATGGTGTTTAGAGGTACAAGGTTATAATATTAGATACATGATAGAAAAGATGTTGAGAGAGACCAGGGGCAGTGTTGAGAAGTGTTAATAGAGTAGAAGATCTAAATTAGCAGAAGACCAGGGGCAGTGTTGATTGATGCCATTGACAACCTTGAGGAACACCAGAGAAGATATTGGAAGATATCAAATATGATTTAGTAAGGACAATATTTAGAGATATTAAGGAAGATATTGATACAGGATCTGACAGTAATATTTGACAGTTTTTGAAATGGAATAATTCAACGAATGATCAAGATATATTATTATTATTATTTTTATTTCAAAAAGGAAGAGTAGAAAATTATGATGTACCAAAAAAAAGCATTATGAAGCAAAAATAACATCTCTCAAATATTAACATCCACATTCTCTATACTTACTGCTTAAGTCTATGAGCAAAGGTGGTCTTTGACATTACTCTCTCCAAGATTTGGTGCAACCTTTCCCTTGAGGTCGACACAGATAATAATTATACGAGGACAAATCTGGCGAACTTATTAGGAGTAATCTTCTTACCTGGGCCATAAATGTACGTGAAGTGTGCGCAGTCTTAGAGAGTTAGTGATCATCATTAGGTAGTGTTCCGAATTAAGCATCACAGTATTCCTCAAAAATATAGGTCTCTATCATAGCTGTGTTATAAACTGCAGCCTAGACAATTACCTTTGCGCTATGAATACCGGAAGTTTTGTTTGCGAACGGAACCGTTTCAATCATTCCAGGATCTTCATTCATCATCTCTAACATTGCAGAAGTTAATCTTTTTGCAAAATCTTAACGCTGTAATTCTTGAACTACAGCAATTTTAATTCAAGTCCTGCCAAACAGTCCTATCGATCATCTCTAAAACCTAAGCATGACGAATAGCTGATTGATGCAGTAGCTTTCTTCTTATTGCAGAATTTCCGAGCCCACATAACCTAAAAAAATTTTGCACGTCTAATTTGTTTAATTATTTAAGTAGAAGAGTTCCTGATTCAAAAGAATTATTTATTAAATAAAGAGATAATTTTAAATACGATAAGGTGTTGTGATTTGATTAATATGGACCAGGAAAGGATTAATTTGCGTTTAACCTTGAATTTTTAAGTTCAACTAATCCTTTATTTGGGCTGGTTTAAACTTATTCTATTCTATATTACTCTAAACACATTATTTGTTACAAACTCAGTTGCATATAATCCTATTTGAGTTGGATTATGAAGAATTTGATCGAGGTTATTTAAAAAAAAATTTGAGGTTATGAAAACATTAATGAGATTAGGTTGGTAATTATATTTTCGGAAACACCATAAATCATAATTGGTATATTAATTAAAGTGTAATTACTTATAAAAAGTACTTTTTGGTTAATAATTAATTAAAACGGGTTAAAAGTTGGTTTATTTCCCAATTTCTTATTGTACGAATTTTTTATACATAGATGGCGCCTCCAGTAATCAAATTAATTTAAAATTTTAACATTTAAAAATTGAAATTTTATCTTAATTTCGTTGTATTAACTCCTAAATAACTTTTTAATTTGTAATTTAAATTTTTGATTTAAAATTATCTTTATTTGAACGTGTTTATGATTTGTTTCTAATTTCAGGTTATATACATAACCTAAAAAAATTTTAAACGTCTAATTTGTCTAATTATTTAAGTGGAAGAGTTTCTGATTCAAAAGAATTATTTATTAAATAACGAGATGATTTTAAATACGATAAAGTGTTGTAATTTGGTTAATATGGACCAGGATAGGGTTAAAATTGCGTTTCACCCTGAATTTTTAAGTTCATCTAATCCTTTATTTGGGCTTGATTATGAAGAATTTGATTTAGGTGTTTAAAGTTTGATCAATAAATCGTTATCTTGTATTGTATCATGGTAAGTTTTTGTGTGAGATGCTAAGGAGAATGTTGATAGATGATGAATATGATAATGTGATATTGAAGAAAGCAGTTGTGTGGTATTGGGGACAATAGGGATGATATTGGGAGATGTCAAGGAGGATACTTAGATATATCAAAGTTGATATTGATAAGGAAGATGTTGCAAAAGGGAAGAATAATGTTAAGAAAGATTAGGAATTACATTGAGAGAATGAAGAACCATGTAGAAGGATGCTATATAGGAAAGCCAGAAAGGACGATATTGAAGGATATCAAGGACGTGGTTAAGAAATATTAGAAATTAAATTGAGAAAAATCAGGGACGATAGTTCTTAAAAGCCAATTCGACTATGCCTAGATACAAAAAGAGCTTTCTCCCCTTTTTTAATAGTTTTTTATTCCTGCTCTCCATTACGAACAGAACGTTCCCTTCATAATTATTGAACTATATTTCCTCCTCTTTCGTGTCCTTGTCTAAAGATAAAAATATGGAAATCTCTGTTCGAAAACGTAACATTTTACGGTTTCCCAAAGTTTTAGTTAAAAATAATTTGTATTCATTAAATGTCACGTGTTTCATTTTACAATTGTTGTTGACAGAGGAAAAATTTTAACCTACAATGATGTCATAAGTAATGAGCATTAAATTATAATACACAAAGGTCGTTTCATAAGGATTTAACAAAATTATTCACTTATTTACCTCAACGAAAAATTAAATTCATTCTCCAGTCTCTAAATAACACGTCCACATGTTTTCAGATAATCTAAAAGTACGTAATTAAAACCCCATTTTTAATTTTAATAAAACATTCTTTTTATTTACTTTATTTCTTTATTTTTTCTTTTTAGTGTCAAAAAGTTCAAGTTTCGCCATTGAAGCGCTCGCCGGCTTGGCGAGTAAAGAAGATTTCAGTTCAATACTGTTAAAGAAAATTTCAGCACCGACTTCTACCGTATTGCCTTATAAGAGCTTGATGCTGTTGCACATTAAAGGAAGAAGACACGTCCAAACTAGATTGGTGGAACCATCTGCCGCGAGCATAAACGACGGGGATAATTACATTTTGATAACACCGAATGCTTTGTATAATTACGTGGGTCCTTACTCAAATATTATTGAGCAATCGCGCGCTTGCGATATTGTTAATCACATCCAAAACACCGGCGATATGGGTTGTAAAGTAAACAAAGTGATTACAATTAATCCGAAAAAAGGACTTAGCACTAACGATCAAGATAAATTTTGGAAATTACTTGGAAGTGAACAAACCGGTGTTAAAACGACGAAAGCCGGTCATCCCGATGAAGATGAAATTTACGAATCGAGTATTTTAAGCACAAATATGATATATACTTTAGATAATGATGAGTTGATGCCTGTTGATGAATATTGGGGGAAAATTCCTAAAATAGAAATGCTCAAACCTAATAAGGTGTATGTTTTTGATTTTGGATCGGAAATGTATGTGTGGAGTGGAAAAACAGCGAATTCAGAATTTAAAAAGAAAACTTTACACCTAGCGAAACAATTATGGGAGGAAGGATTTAATTATTCCGATTGCGGAGTGAGTCCTATTAACATCGCTGGTATGCTTGGTGATAGAAAGAAAACAGAAATTCCTTTAAAATGTGAAGAAAGACCAGATTGGGCTTTGTTTGCTAAAATAACTCAACATAGAGAAACGATATTATTCCGTGAAAAATTTTTGGATTGGCCCGATTATTCGCGTGTTATCCAAGTTAAAACTAACGAAAAAACAGAGAATGGTAGCACTCCAATGAGTATTAACCCATGTAATGTAAAGAGTATGTTAGAAGATAATCGTTCTGAGCCAGATTTTGTAGCTGATAACACTCATCTGGGAAGAGGACACTTTTATAATGACGAAGAAAATCGCAGACAATATACAATAACTTCATTAAACGTAAAAACCTGGAGAATTCTTGAAAACACTTATGAAGATATAAATGAAGATATGGTTGGACATTTTTACGACGAAGAATCTTATGTAATTCGTTGGCAATATCGTGTAACAAGCGGTGGAAGAGAATTAAGTGGAAAACCCTCAAAACATAATCTAACAGGAAGGGATCGTTGTATTTACTTTTGTTGGTTAGGAAGTAAAGCATCAATAAACGAAAAAGGTGCCGCAGCGCTTCTTACTTGCGAATTAGACAGTGAGAATGCGCGACAAATTCGTGTTACTCAAGGAGCCGAACCAACGGTTTTTATAAGATTATTCAACGGTACTATGGTAACACATAGAGGAAAATCCGATCAAAAAGCTCAAAGTCGTTATAAACTGTATATGTCAAGAGGTGAAATAGAGGAAGAAGCGTTTTTAATAGAAGTACCTTGCAGCATGAGAAGTTTAAGAAGTAGATCTTCTTTTATTTGTATAGACACGCAGTCTTCACAATTGATTATTTGGAACGGATGTAAAACTTTACCACAAACGGAATATGTCACGAAAATAGCAGCAGAGTCGATTTCAAAAAAGAAATCTAGCAATTTCGGTTTGGATTCGAACAAAGAAACGACTACGAAAACAGTCATTGAAGGCGAAGAAAACGAAGAGTTTTTACAAGCGTTAGGCGAAAAACGCCAATTGTACAAATGTCTTCTTTCTGATAACATCAAATATGAATCCACACCAAGATTATTCAATTTTAGCAGCATTTCCGGAACGTTTACTGCGAACGAAATTTTATGCGGATACCGAAGCTCGTATACCACACCATATCCATTTTTACAAGGAGAATTATATTCTGCAAGTCAACCAGGTTTGTTACAAAAAAAATTATTTTAATTCTTTTGATTTATTTTTTTAATTTTAGCATTATTTTTATTCGATAATGGTCACGAATTGTGGTTGTGGCAAGGCTGGTGGCCAGAAAACGAAGAATTGGAATTATCAGAACAAACGGGAATGGCCGTGGTTAGGTGGCAAGCCGAACGAAAAGCCGCAATTCAAACAGCTATTGACTATTGGAAGGAACAGCATAAAGAAGACACTCAAGTGCCAGCTTATTCGGTATGGGCTGGATTGGAACCTTTACAATTTACATCTTTGTTTCCAACTTGGGAGGATCGAGATGATATAGCAGCCATTAATATTAAGGTAAATAAAAATTTATTTGTGGAGTGTCAGATCTTTTTCTTCCATCCATTCGCATCGATATCTTCCTCTTTCATCTTCTTTATTAGCACCTCTATATGCTGATTTAGCGTTAAAATCTCCAGCTATGATGACATCCCTGGTCTCTCTTCTGTCTAGCACCACTCCAATTTTATCTAGTTTTTTTTATAAGTCTTCATTTGGGGTTAGGCAAACCAACCCAACCCAACCCAACCAGTTTTTTTATGCGCTAGGGATATCATATAAACCTAAATAACCAATATTTGATTGCATGGTATCAATTATTATGTAATAATAATAATAAAACTGCGAAACTGCGAAACTCTATTAATGTAATAATAATTACATTAAGTTCGAGTTTCACGATTTAATACACGTTTGTTCTCGTGCTCCGTCTTTTTTGGAGATTTACAGCGTTTGACGGCGTAGTTTTGATTCACGAGTTCACAAATACTTTAATGAGTTGGTGTAGATTTATGGTAATTTAGTGATTATCTTCTCTAATTTGCGATTTTTCGTTAAAGTGGGTGTAAAGTTTTTAAAGTTTTCAGCTTCATTCTCAGTAAACCTTGTTTCTCGCTAAAACCGGTCCTCATGCCAGCGAAGAAGAAATTTTGTGGAAGGTGTAGTCAGCTGGTGGGGAGAGACATCCCTGGAGTTTAATGCGACCTAATGATCGCTTTATCATTTGTGGCGACCTTAATTTGCCTGAATTAAACTGTTCATTTGCCTGGATTCCCGTTTTGCCACTGCTTCGGGATCTGTCAGCGCCCGCTCCAGTGATTTTCTGAATGTTCTTTCCCTTTGCGGTTTTAACCAACTAAATTATCATAAAAATTCTTCTCTAAATACACTTGATCTTGTTATTACTAATTCTACCGATGTTTATCAAATCTAGTTCCTGAGGACAATGCGCACCCCACTCTTGAGTTTTCCTGCTCAATTCATTTCACTCGTTCATTACCTATACATCATGGTGACGCTTTTTGTTTTAGAAAAGCCTGGTTTCCTGAATTAAATGAGTACTTTAACAAAATTGACTGGAAATTAGAACTCGTCGGTCGTGATAAAAACGACGCTGTTCAATTTTTTTTTTAAACTATGTGAATAATGCTATAGGTACCTACGTGAATTTGTACCTTTAAAAAGCAAAGCAACCAAGGGTTTTCCTACTTGGTTTTCACATAATACCATTAAAGCAATTCGAGAAAAAAGGAGGGCGCACTGTAAATGGAAACGTTTTGGCAACCGACCTCACTTTTTGAATTCTAAGGAATCGTGCAACGTATCTAATCCATCTTAACACTATGCCGTCCGGCGACACCACAGTGGTGTCGCGCGAAAAATATCACTCAACGGCCGGCGGCACCACATTGGTGTCGCCCGCTTACGTATGGATCTACTATCCGTGCAAAAAGTCAAGGCCCCTCACTTTAGAGATCGATATCTTCGCAACCGATCGATGAAAAAAATTGCGACAAAGTTTGTTGTAATCACTGAACATTTCTACGTAACATATGTTAATTTGAAAATGTTCGGATCCGCGGTTTTCTTTTTATCGCGAGTTAAATGAAAAAAGTACCCGATTTTTGAGTGTGCCGGCAACTTTGTCAACTTTGCGATTTTTTTTCTCGAAAACTATTTGACGAAAAAATTTCAAATTTGAACTGGTGGTAAACCGATGTGTTCTTAATGTGGGGCATATTTTATTTTTTCAATATTCCATATAGTTTCGCGGAAAATCGCGGTTTAGTAGGATGCGGTTATTTCGGAAACGACCTGGCGGATTTCAACGCGGTTTTTACCAAAATATGTCAAATCATGTCGGTTGTCGAATTCCGTTATCAGTTTTTCAAAATCAGGGCCCCCTATTTTGTTAAGGATGATTTAATGGAATTACAAATTAAAGAGAAACAGAAGTAAGCCATGCGGGGAGGGGTGGGGTTCCGGCCAATCGGAACAGAGTTGAAGAGATGTTGCTGGCGTGCGCTTCGGACGGGCCGTGGCGAATAATATTTAAAATTTTAGATAAAATTATTTTATTTCAAATTCAATAAGTATGTTTCATTTTTGTATACAAGACATGAATAATGCATATAAATTTAAACAAAATAGCTTGGCACTATTTTCTTCAAAATTTTTTATTTTGTTTTTACATAATATATCACTTATACATGGACAATTACTACAATTGTGTAGAACTTGCGGAGAATTTACTTACAAAGAAAATTCGAGTCTGTGGAACGATGCGACAACATAGAGGATTTCCAGAAAAATTAAACTTCGTAAACGAAGAAGATGCCGTGTTTGTTCCAAAAACAAAAAAAGAAGGACAACGAATTTAATGTGCAAGTCTTGTGGAGTTGCGTTACATCTCGGGGATCGTTTTGCTTCATATCATCAAAAAGAGAAATACTAAGTAGGTACCAAAGAAAATATAAATCAAGAAACATATATGCCAAAATACGTATTTATTTGTTGTGTGGTTTACGTATTAGTTTATTGTTTATTGTTATTCTTACTATTGTTTTGTTGTATTTATTTTGTGGTATCAATAAAAGTACATTATTATTATTATTATATAAAACATACAAATTTTACATTTATTTACATTTATTCGAAATTTCGTGAAAATAGCTAGACAGGATTGAAAATCAGGAGAACTAGCAATAAGATTAATATAACATAATAAAAATAAAATAATAATAATAATTATTAATATTCTTGATATATGTTGAAAAACAAAATAAAAAATTTTGAAGAAAATAGTGCCACGCTATTTTGTTTAAATTTATATGCATTATTCATGTCTTATATACAAAAATGAAACATACTTATTGAATTTGAAATAAAATAATTTTATCTAAAATTTTAAATATGATTCTCCACGGCCCGTCCGAAGCGCACGCCAGCAATATCTCTTCAACTCTGTTCCGATTGGCCGGAACCCCCATGGCATATTTCTGTTTCTCTTTAATTTGTAATTCCATTAAATCGCCCTTAAAAAATTAGGGAGCCCTAATTTTGAAAAACTGATAACGGAATTCGACAACCGACATGATTTGACATATTTTGGTAAAAACCGCGTTGAAATCCGCCAGGTCGTTTCCGAAATAACCGCATCCTACTAAACCGCGATTTTCCGCGAAACTATATGGAATATCGAAAAAATAAGATATGCACCACATTAAGAACACATCGGTTTACCACCAGTTCAAATTTCAAATTTTTTCGTCAAATAGTTTTCGAGAAAAAAAATCGCAAAGTTGACAAAGTTGCCGGCACACTCAAAAATCGGGTACTTTTTTCATTTAACTCGCGATAAAAAGAAAACCGCGGATCCGAAAATTTTCAAATTAATATATGTTACGTAGGAATGTTCAGTGATTACAACAAACTTTGTCGCAATTTTTTTCATCGATCGGTTGCGAAGATATCGATCTCTAAAGTGAGGGGACTTGACTTTTTGCACGGATAAGTAATCTGAATATTCTGCCGGCGCCGAGCGAATAAATTTTTGCGAAACGTGCGGACGGCAAAGTGTTAATTAGAATGGAGAAAGTTAGAAGAGCTGAAAGCAATATCCAATCTGACTCAAAGGTGTTTTAGGCTTTTATACGATGTCATGGAATGGAACTATTGTCGGTGACGGTGTCAGAGTCAGCGCATTGTTCAGTTTTTGTTGATCCTGCTCCAATCCAGCAGAATGTAGATTGTGTGGAAACGGATGGGGCCTTCGTTTGAATCAGATGCAGTTTGACAAAATTGAGGTTGAGGAGGCCCCTTGATGGTATTCCATCAATGTTAATCAAGGAATGTTCACACTCTGTCCCTTCTTTTAACTATTTTATTTAATGATTTATTAATAATGGGTGTCTTTCCGTCATTGTAGAAGCGAGCTTTTATTCTTCCCATTTTTTAATCTGGGAACCGTGGTGTTATATCTGATTACATTTGTGAAAGTGTTTGAGAAAGTCGGTCATGCAAGTCTATTGTTTGCCCTTAAGTCTAAAATCAATTGAAGACAACTTACTTGAATATACCCAGTATATCTTATCTTCTTTGGATGATTCTTGTCAAGTTGATTCAGTTTATACGGATTATAGTAAAGCTTTCGACCGGCTGGATCACAACTTACTTCTGTTTAAACTAGTGATGGAACGGATAGTGATTTTGCGAAAAGCCGGATGTCGGATATTCGGCATATCTATCCGGCCATTATGGTTATAATTTCTGGTGCATTTCTGAAGTGATACGCTATATTGCCACATGATTGCGATATTTGAATAAAAATGAAATTAATAAGAGAGCTAATAAGATATGTCAACTTATTTGGATCCAAGATACAAAATGAATGATGAACTTCAAATACTGTTTTCTCAAAAACTAAAAGTTATTTTTCAAAACGGGTTGGTTCATTGGAAAGAGGACACTTTTATTAACACTTTGGGAAATTTTCATACTCCTATTCCAAGACCTGAATTCTATGCGAATTTTTAAAACTTAATCGGCGAAAATTAAAAAAAATGAAAAAATTGCCGATAATTTCAAAAATTTATTTCTCAAGAACTAAAAGTGATTTTTCAAAACGGCTTTTTGCATTAAAAAGAGGATACTTTAATTAATAATTGGTGATATTTCCACAAGGATCCTTCAAGAAATTAATTTTATAGCGAATTTTGAAAATTATCGATGAAAATTGCAACATCGAAAATTGGATCAAAACTTCAAATATTGTTTTCTCAAAAACTAAAAGTTATTTTTCAAAACGGGTTGATTCATTGGAAAGAGGACACTTTTATTAACACTTTGGGAACTTTTCATAATCATATTCCAAGAACTGGATTTTATACGAATTTTTAAAACTTAATCGGCAGAAATTGGAAAATTCAAAAAAATTGTCGATAATTTCAAAAATTTATTTCTCAAGAACTGCAAGTGATTTTTCAATACGGCTTTTTGCGTTAAAAAGAGGATACTTTAATTAATAATTGGTGATATTACCACAAGGATCCTTCAAGAAATTAATTTTATAGCGATTTTTGAAAATTATCGATGAGAATTGCAACATCGAAATTTTATCAAAACTTCAAATATTGTTTTCTCAAAAACTAAAAGTTATTTTTCAAAACGAGTTGGTTCATGGGAAAGAGGACACTTTTATTAACACTTTGGGAAATTTTCATACTCTTATTCCAAGAACTGAATTTTATACGAATTTTTAAAACTTAATCGTCGAAAATTGTAAAATTCGAAAAAAATTATTTCTCAATAACTGCAAGTGATTTTTCAAAACAGCTTTTTGCATTAAAAAGAGGATACTTTAATTAATAATTGGGGATATTTCCACAAGGATCCTTCAAGAAATTAATTTTATACCGAATTTTGAAAATTATCGATGAAAATTGCAACATCGAAAATTTTATCAAAATTTCAAATATTGTTTTCTCAAAAACTAAAAGTTATTTTTCAAAACGGGTTGGTTCATTGGAAAGAGGACACTTTTATTAACACGTTGGGAAATTTTCATACTCATATTCCAAGAACTGGATTTTATACGAATTTTTAAAAATTAATCGGCGAAAATTGCAAAATTCGAATAAATTGTCGATAATTTCAAAAATTTGTTTCTCAAGAACTGCAACTGATTTTTCAAAACGGCTTTTTGCATTAAAAAGAGGATACTTTAATTAATAATTGGTGATATTTCCACAAGGATCCTTCAAGAAATTATTTTTATAGCGACTTTTGAAAATTATCGATGAAAATTGCAACATCGAAAGTTTTATCAAAACTTCAAATATTGTTTTCTCAAAAACTAAAAGATATTTTTCAAAACGACTAATTGCGTTAAAAAGAGGATACTTTAATTAATAATTGAAAGTGATAATAGCGACAGTTCTGTTAGTAATGAATGTGATGATGAATTACAAGCAAACAGAAGAAAACTAGACGAAACTGCAACAGGATATTTTATATATCGTATTGGGATTGTTACAATGAAGTTGCTAATAACAAACCTGATATAAATAAAGTTGTATTCAATGAAAAAAGTCCTATTGGGTTGAACTTGATTATTATCTGCAGTGTCCAACACCTAAAAGAGATACTAATTCCTGTAAATGGTGGAGTACCAAGTAATAGGTAACTATCCCGTATCCGGCCAGATTTAAAAAAAAATGGCACAGGGGATACTTTTGCAATCAGGGGCTTATACTTCTTATCTGTATCGGTTCCTTCTGGTGTTCCACAGGATAGCCATCTGGGTCCTTTAGTGTTTAACATATATGTTAACGACATATTTGACGTCGTTAATTATTCCCAATGTTTACTGCATGCTGACGATTTAAAACTCTTTTTCCGTATCTCCTCACTTCTTGATTGTTCTAGAGTGCAATCTGACTTAAATAATCATGCTTTTTGCTAAATAATCGCCTTTCATTAAACTTATCAAAGTGTAATATTATTTCCTTCTCTAAGAGGGGGAACACAATCTACTACAATTATAGTGTCGCTGGTGAGAGGTTGCAATGTCTTATTTATTAGAGATTTGGGTGTTACATTTAATAATAAATTGTTCTCTCCAAAGCCTGGCGTATGTTATTATTATTATTTATTAGCTTTTTATAACATTGATGCAATTAGAAATCTTTATTTTGCCTATAGCACACTTAACTTTTGCAGCGTCGTCTGGAATCTTCAGTATCACTTGAGCGTATTCAATCTAAATTTCTCAAATACCTTTGTTTTAAATTTGCCAGCGTCGCTTTTGTGGAGATATGTTATATTTTTATAAACTTTTGAACAACAAGTGTAATTCTCCAATGCTTGTCGGTTCTATATTCTATATATTCTTAACTTATTACTTTATTTTTCTTTTTAGGACGGAAAAAAAGCGGGAGAAATGACATTAATAGAAAACGAATTATTACAATTAACAAGGACAACTTACCCACTTGCGCAGCTCTTACAAAGGCCTTTACCTGAAGGTGTAAATCCAACACATTTAGAAATTTATTTATCACCCGATGAGTTTACGCAGCTTCTTTCAATGACACCCGCGGAATTTGGGAAACTCCCCACGTGGAAGCAATCGGCCATTAAGAAGGAAAAAGGCCTATTCTGACCTATGTTGTTAATGAAAAAGCTGCATGATATGATTTTGGGCTGTTTCAGCAACTTTGTATATTCGAACCGTTAAACAATTACATAAAAAGAAATACTACAGTAAAAAAAAATTAGTAAGCGATGGTACTTTTGAGAGCGACATATCCGCATTATTCTTACTCTTATTGGACTTTAACGTAAATAATCGGTTACTTTGCATGTATAAATTGAATGTTTTTGTCGATGTTTTTTCGTGTATATTGTATATCGCAGTATTTTGTATCTTAATAAATGTGTGGAAGAACAATTTAAAGTCGATGTAATATTTAGTCACGTAATTTAAGTTTGGATTGTTTTTTTTTTAATTTAATATTTGAATCAATTAAATCTTACTGCCATAAGTACTTATCATTTTGATTTTGTAAAATATGATGTACTGCCTATTGCATACTTTCTTTGTTTCGGCTCTTCCTTAACGACACGAAAAAAGGTTGTGTTATGTACTTTTGTAAGCTAGGCATGCATGTGTACTGAAACCATATAGAATTTGAGAACGATGTAGAATACCCGAGGAAACGTGTAAAATTTCGTTTTTGCTGAAGCTGTGATTAAACGAGCATATGTAACATTCAAAGTGTTTGTAAAAGTTTTTATAAATTGGTGCCTTGTAGGAACTTACGAAAAGGTTATCGTGGTAGGCCCCCTCCTTTTCTAGTCTTCGATTGTTTATATATTTTTTTAATTGCGTTTATTAAATATTAATTTAATGTAATAACCTTTCCCTGTGTGACACCTGTACGTATAAATGGCACTGTAACGAATAGAAATAGTCGATTTGTACATCACCAACCTCACACATACACACACGTACTCTTGACCGCCTTATACTATCTTATAGAATTTTTCGGAAACCATTCTCTCGTAATGAACAAATATTAAAAAATTAAAATGTAATTGTAAAAGAGACGTAAATGTGATTTGTCGATTTGACAATATTTTGTATAGTTTTATCCCCGTATTGCCAGATATCACTATATTATATACATTATATATTATATATACACACATACTTACTCTCCTAGCTTTTATACTGTATTAATATAATTATTGTAATTGTTTTGTTTGTGCCCCCTTTTTTTGTTTTTCTACATTAAGTGATTTAATAAATATTTTCTACATAAAAAAATCGTTCTTTATTTCATATTTGTAACACCAATAAAAAACTACAACGAACAGATTTTGTCATTTTGGGTTTTTAGTTTGCGTTTTTACAAACAAAGCATTCCTCTCCATGCAAAGGACGTTTCAAAGGGAGGTAAATACAGCTAAAACCGAAATGTTTAGCATTTTTTCCTCGTAAACTTTCGCTGAATACGCACAGAAAAAAAAAGCAATAGGTACAGATTATTAATATTTAAAACTATGGGATGAAAAGCCTTTTAAAAAGGATTTAAATAAAAAAATTCGCTTTGTTCATGACCATTTTACAACGAGAACGTTGTAAATTGAAATTCGCATTAATTGATTCACCCGAGGTGTTGATAATCTTCACGATACAGGGGAGACCGTGATATTGAACGCCAAGGGGCAAATAAGCACTGACGCGATTAATGTTGCGTGTGTAGATATTGCGTATTTGCTAACTCCACCATCCGCTTAACTTAACCGAGGAACGATTAAATGGGGTGAAATTTGAAACATCCGAGCGATTAAATAAGTTTTGAAATTAAGTACCGGCCATAAAACTAATATTACTGATGGGATAAAGCGAAGTAACCGGTAGGAAAATGCTCGGAAGCCAATTCTTACATCTGTGAAAACCGAGAACCTAAAGTGCACGGAACTAGGAGTTCGATTTTCCGGAATTTATGACATACTAATACTAGCGGCAATTTCTGCGGCGTAATCCGCCGCAGTATATCAAAGGCCCTTGGTGTAATTTAATAAATTATATCGATAAATCAGCGCAAAATACACACCCGGTCACCCGTATGAACTCGCAAATGCGCTTAGCTCCTGTCGAAAGAGAATCTCTCTCGTTCGAATAGACCACTGTTTGTGATGCCATTTCAATAATACCTAGGCTTTTGTAGCTTTATCGATCGATTAAGCTCATTGATACAGAAACTTATATAAATTGCTATTAATTAATTTCCAATTTAACAACGTTTCGTTGCAATTATATCGTTGAAAATAACACACCTACATTTCTTTTCATCTATAGAATATTCGCAGTAACATTTTTAGATATAACAAGGTCTTCGAAGGAGTAACCAGAATACACTTTCTACTTACTACAGTTGCATATAACGATACTCAAAGTGCTGTAAAAATATAGAGGTATAGAAAAGATTCTTTCTAATGATGTCTTTTAAAAAAAACATCTATATACAAGAAAAATGTATAAAATAGAAAGAAAAATAATATAAATGGTGTTCGTTTAAAATATTCTTTAAGTATATTAAAGTTGTAACAAGTCGAAACAATGTATAGCTCGTTACGGTTAAAGCAGGAAGAAAAACACGTCGTAACAAAAGTAACTGCTTTGCATCTCAACAATGGTCGACAATTCCGTAAAGCTCCCAGAGTTAAGTTGTGCATTTCGGATGGGAGAAGAGACCAAGAAACTCGTTCGGGAATTGTGAACTTCATAAACGTATGCTAATAACCACGATCAAATTTATGTCCCGCATAAAACTTTACATGGCGCGTTGGTAGAAACTTTTTCACTTTGGAGACGGCGTGTGTATCACTTGTTTGCATCATGTTGACATCTATTTACTCTGCATTTTCAGCAGTGCGAGTTAATGTAAAGTAAATGTTTTGCAAGTTCTTTGGAGAAAAATATTCTTAAACTTGTACTGTCAAGTTTATGCAAGTTTTTTTTTTATGAATAACCTCTGAATCCATTTTGGCTATTTTTAACATTATATTTATGTGTACTTTACATAAAGAAAGGAACAACTTCTTTTGTATAAACTTGCACTATCTTAGCTTTTGAACGCTTATGTACCATTAATGTTCTGGCAAAGATGAAGATTTCCAATTAAGAGCTGTGAATGTTTGGATTTCAAAATACTACTTTTCAATCCAAGTTTTTGTACGCCTTTTAAACGCCTTTTAACAGTATACAACTCCAAATGGGATCTATTCATTCCCTGTAACCATGGGAGATGCATTTTTGAATCCTTAGAGATAGCACCATAAATGAAGCAGAAATGATCGTTATAAGTTATAACACTTTAAACAAAACAGTAAAACGCGATCGTTTTACTGTTAATTCCAATAAGCACGATATACGAGTTATTATTTTTGTATAATTGATAATTGATTTTCACGTTAACGAGAATAATGATAAGCTCTAAGGGGGTAATGGAAGAGGAAGCGAAACACAATCGCGTCATAATGGAATGAACTAAGGAAATTTCTGTTAGCGTTGGTGACAATGACGTTAATGAGCTGGCTAAACAATCTGCCGAGAAAATACCCTGTGCAACCATGCTGATGATTTAGCTACTCTAATTGCAATTTTTAATTTTGAGTACACGTCATCTTTACCTAGTTGGTTCTTTTTCACTGTGATTTCCTACCAAAACCAATTTTCCTCGAAACACTTCCAAATTGTATAAATAATAATAATAATAATGGTTTATTGATCATCAGGTGTATACAAAAAAATACAAAAAATACTTAAAATAAATATCTACGATAATCAAACTTATGATGAGGTTCAATATTAATTACTGAAGCGATAAAAAAAATCAAAAGAAGTTAATCTTACAAGTAAATTTTCCTCGTAATTTCCAATAAACATGTTCGAAAGGGTTCTCCACAATTAGAAAAAAGAACAAAGCATAAATGGGGTCAAGAACACTGCTGCCCAAATAAAAAAACAGCATAGCGCCTTCCGAAAATAGCTATTGACGTAAACTCAGCCAATGCACAACAAGGAGGAAGTTCATTTATTACTTTGCATATCTCGTATGAAAAACATCTTTTAAAACTTACAGTATAAAATATTGGTGGAAATAATCTACCCCTAAATCTAACATTGACCGAGTGCACGTCCGCACGAAAACGAACTTTTTTTGACAGATACGGACGTTTTTGTAAGGTCATTATTTTATAGTATAAACATACGGTGTGTAGCGATCTTTTCCTCTGCATATCTAACCATTTCAAAGTGGCCAACTTACAGTTTACGTGATCTCTGCGTTTTAAACCAAATATCAGTCTAATACAACTATTCTGTACCTTTTCAATTTTGTTTTTTAATATGTATGACAAAAACGGGGCATACAAGGCATCACCGTAGTTAAATATGGATAGAACGAAGCTTTCACATAGATGAATTTTTGTTTTACGATTCACGAAGGCTCTATTGGTATAGATAATTCTTAAACTGCTATAAGCTTTCTGAACGCACTTGTTAATGTGTTCATTGAAACTCAGACTCTCATCGATCACAATGCCCAAATTTTTAACTGATTTGTGAATTGGCAAGACTTCATCATCTTGGCTTGATTAACGCTTTTTTCCAAATTTTTGGAAAGACGCCGGAAGCTATACTTGAGTTTATAATATCGCGAATATACAATTAGATACATTTAGTATTAAGATAATCATACCCAAACTCATTATTCGTCATACTGTGCATAGCACGTTGTCAGTTACTGTTTAAAAGCTGAAATATATACCCTGCTTAAGGTTTGAGTTATAAAAATGTACAAGCTCTTTGTCTGATCCACCACTTCCCCCAATTGTGGCAATAAAATGATTATTAATATCATTTAACGATGATATGGGGTGGGATTAACCCGAGATGGGGTGGAAGCACACAGTTTCTTTTAAACATTAATGCATTCTGTAGAGCTCTCCAACAATTACTTCCAGTCAGTTCCGACTCAAAATAAGCTCTACGTTCCTGGTTAATCGATGTATTTACCAAGTCACACAAAAATTTATAATATTCCCACTTAGTTACTGACATGTTGTCGCGGTACTTGGTGTAGGCCTTATCTCGCAGCTTTTGCATGATCTTTATATTATCTGTGATCCAAGCGATCGGGGCATGCACTCTTGAGATTGTTTTGAGAGGCAACAAAAGAATTTTGTTGCAGAATAGCAAAAGAACTCCTTCTTCTCGGAATTACAGTGCTAAAAGTAATAATTTCCAGTGACTTAAGAGGGTAAATAAAATGAACAACAATGCAACCCCCAAAGTGTGTACCTAATAATAAACGAAAAATAGCTTATATATTATAAAAACTAAAATGAAAATAATAACGGTATTAAACTATTAACCATATAGAGAGTGCTAAGCACATCCTACTTAAACGTATTGTTTCTTTAATTTAGTAGTACCACGCGTCATAACACGGCTCTCCTCTTTCAAGTTTCCTTCCGTGGTAACATTTTTGTCTAGGTCGGATACATTCTTGATTTTGACTTTTCTTCCATCAACAGATGTATAAACCGCACCTTGTACCGTCTTGACTTTTGTTTTACCCAATCTAGCATGTTTATACAGTTGATGCCGTGTCTTAGTAAGGTCATCTACAATGACCAGCCGCGAATTCCTAACTTTTTCTTATTATTACAAACCATAGTCTTATAGCAAATTCTAGAAAATTTTATTATAACAGCTCTCGGGCTGTTTCTTAAATAATCTTTTGATCAATCGACCATGACATCTTATTGAGTACATTTGAATGCTAACGGATACGATTCTTTGTGTCATATAAAGGTATCAATTTTCTTTTAAAGCAAATACATTTTCGCGTACCTTAAGAGTTCCATTTTAGTCTTTTGTTATTTTTGGGTTTGGGTTAGTTTATCTTGAGGTTAGATTAGGTTGGCTTGGAGTTGACTTGGCTATCTTTACAAGCACAACATTTTCCGGAAAATCTCTGTTTGGCGGGAAATTTGAATGAACCACAAGGTCTCCATTAAAGTACTAACTCTCATTGAGATCAGAGCATCATGGTTATTTTCCACGTGGAATAATAGGACTGATATGTTGTATGCGTAAGCCAAATGACACTCATTCTATCAGCTGAGGGAGTCAATATCAAAGGATAGGTTAGGCAAACACTTAAATAATACTATTTTAATATCAAATTATTTTGCATGATTATTCTATTTATATGTACATATGGAAAACTAGCAGCTTCAGATATGGAAGTGTTCAATATACTTTACACATAATTATTCAGCGAGACATAAGCTTTCGTTTGAGATATAAAACATTAAAATCGGTCAAACCGTTCTTTAGTTAGGTATAGCGAATTTAATCAAAATTATTTTTTTGCAATTTGGGGCCAGACTTCCAGTCGCTAGATACGTGGAGTCATTTAAATGACCGTACGTTAATTAGTAAATTTATTTAAATTAATTTTTTCTTAATGGGGGCATAAACAACGAGCCGAACACGGCGTCATTCCGTTACTTTTCTAGTCTTTTTTTTCAAATTTTATATTTTTAGCTGTACCTGGTATCCTTTTTAGGAGTACGGAGCTATTAAATCTTTATTAAATTTGCTTTAAAATGTTCTTTATTTCATGATGATATTTCAATTCATTCTTGAGATACGATTTTTTTTTAAATTTATGTTTTATGACATAAAAAATAAGGGATGATGTATAATCCAACATTTTGGCTGCTTCGTTTTAATAATTTGTAGGGCACCTGATTCTTTTGCAGGAAGTGTTAAATTAAACATTGAAATTCGAATAGTGCGTTTTATTTTAGTAAAATGACGTAGGTTTTATTTGAAATGTTTCGAGAAAACGAGTAATTTTTATATGGAAAGGTTGAGTTTTGAACCAAAAAACGATTTAAAACCGCTTCGCCCCGTCGTCTTTACATTTTTTGTTTATTCACCTCCAGTATTCCTTCTTCACACAATAAATTAAGGAGGGGATGTTTGGAAGTTGATTTGCTAATAACGCATTTTAGTTGATGTACGGGCCGTGCGGGCTGTCGGAAATTTTCAAATTCACACATGTTACGTAGAAATGTTCAGTAAATACAACAAAGCTAACCGCAATTTTTTTCATCGGACGGTTCTCGATATATCGATCTTTAAACAGACGAGAATTGACTTTTCAAGTTATACCGAGATTTATTTAACTGGAGTTTATCTAGCGACTGAAGAACCTGCCCTTAAATAAATAAATAATCTCTAAACATCTTTAATTTTTTATTTTAATGTTCACATCTCAAAGCAACTCTCCCAAATGGTAACCTAACTTAAGGCAAAAGAAAATAAAGTCATAAACTCATCAGCTAAGTAACCTACGCTTAAACAAGCCAATCAACCTCACAGTAACTTAATCAGAAATCTGTCTATCTCATCTTTGAATCCAACCAAGAACATAAAACGAACTAACCCACCACATAAAGCAAACATAACCTATACGTTAAAAAAGTAATAAAATAAAATAATGGATCTGCAAATTTTCGACGACGATTTAGATGTTTTGGAAATAATTGATTTTGGTTTTCCAAAATTAATATACACAAGATCCAATTATTTCCACGAAATGGACGAATATAATTTTTTTAAAAGATTTCGTCTAACAAAACAAAGTTGTTTGTATGTTCTACGACAAATACAAGAAATTATAGAATTTCCGTCTAATAAGTAAGTAGTATACATTATTTTAAATTATACTTTTATAGGCTGAATTTAGATTATTTTAATACTACTTGTTTTGTACAGAAACAACTGTGTGTCTCCAATGAACCAGTTGCTAACAACCCTTAGATTTTACGCTTCTGCTAGCCATTTAACTATTGTAGCTGATTTTACCGGGATGCATACTTCAACAGCTAGTAGAATTATATCGCGGGTATCGCGTGCAATTGTTATGCTGAGACCGCAATACATAAAAATGCCAAGTAATACCGAAGAAATTCTAGCAGTACAAAACCAGTTTTATGGAATAGCTGCATTTCCCAGGATTATAGGTGCCATTGATTGCACGCACATAAAAATTCAGTCTCCTGGTGGCGAAGATGCAGAAGTGTACAGGAACCGAAAAGGCTACTTTTCTTTTAATGTACAAGTTATTGTAAATGCAAATTTGGAAGCCATGGATATTGTGGCAAGGTGGCCAGGATCTGTTCACGATTCAACTATATTTAATAATAGTCGCATTAGAGCACGGTTAGAAAACGGAGATTTCCAAAATGGCATATTATTAGGTATGATGTTACTGATACTTAACGTAAAATAGTACATATTACTATTTGATTACAAATGATTAATGATAAGGTTCTTTTAGGCGACAGCGGATATCCTCTGCGAGAGTATTTTCTAACTCCATTGGCAGAGTATAGAACAAGACCAGAAGAACTGTATAATGAAGCTCATATAAGAACCCGAAATACAGTGGAACGGTTCTTTGGAAATTGGAAACGTCGATTTCCTGTCCTTGCATATGGCCTACGTTTGAAAATTTCCACTGTGATGGAGGTTATTGTAGCAACGGCAGTTCTACAAAATATTACCAGAACAGTTATGGCAGAAGAAAATGTTGCTGTTTTGCCAGATGATATTAATGAAGCAGATTTAAATGTTCAAATTGAGGCTGGCCGTGTGGAGATGAATAATATCGGCAATAATGGGATATATTATTTAAGAGATAATTTAATAAATAACTACTTTAATGATTTATAAAACAATTTATTATAAAAATAACTATTTTTCATTACTTAACCTATCTAGTTTTCAACTGACATTAACTTGACAACACGAAAAACCCTAAAACATTACTAAAATTTAAAAAAATTACTAAATTTTATGGCGTTGTTGCTAAATAACCGATACTTAAACGTTACTTAGTTGAGCATTGTATATGTTGTGTCGGTGCAATAGACATAAAATTTAAGTTCTTCTTAACTATAAAAACTGCTTAACTAAGTTATGCTCAACTATGTAAACGGTGCAACCGGGCAAGTCTTAGGTTCCATTTGTTTCTATGATAAAATTATCTAAATATTTTTAATATTTGGTAATGTGGAAATTATTTTGTCTGTGATGAAGCACTCGGTTTGTACCTAGATGTGGGTTGCTGCAAGGAAAGCCCCTTGAAGTTAGGCCTCATTTTATTTACTTGCAGAAAAATACAAATTTGTTGAAATTTGTAGATCTGTTGAAATTTAAGATCCAAAAACACAAATTAATGTTTGGAATATTTCATAAGTTAAATTTCTTTGAGACCTTAAGGTCGCTTAAAAAAAGTTTTTAACCTCATTCATTATATGAAATATATTGAAATAAGTTCAAATGTTTTAACGAAAAGCGACTTTAATCAAAATAATTTAACCACCCTCGTTTTACCCTATCCATTAACAATGGGTAATATCTTGAGATGAGTTTAAAATTTCACAGAATTTTGCCAGAAGTCGAGTTAGGATGAAGTCTGAAATAAAACAACCAACCTGACAGTGTCAGAAAAGGGGGACCACAGGGGGTCAAATTTTGAGGGGATGAAAACTCGAGAATTTAATTATAACTTATCGAAACCACACGAACAATAGATCAAATAACCCCCTCGGCGTTGTTTTCCTAAATTACACTCGCTAAGATATAAATTGATTTCATCGCGAAACAATGAATTAGAGACTTAGTTATCATACCTTATTTAACTAATTAAGCGTAATGATTGCGTTTGTAATTAAGTATCACCAAATATCTAAAACAATCTATTACTCACGCTTAATAGCCACGATAATGATGTAGCTTTGCCCGTCCGATTTATCCTATATAATTAACTCGAAATTAACGCTCTGGGTCCAATAACTTGCCCAATCAAACCGTGAGGGTATTATATTGCCAATTCAGCTCGAAACAATGGGTTTTTAATGCCCGCCTTTTATTTGATTAGCATCGTAACATGTTCATTAGTGGTTTATGAACGTAACAATTTCAATTAATAACGTAACAATGTCTCTACAGAGTAAATAGATTGCTAGCCCACTAATTTACTGTGTAACCGTGTAAATCCGCGTAAAAGATACCTTATTTTTTCGGTCGACACAATGTATCAATCTTCGTTAAGCTTTATCGCGACTGCGGCGGTATTTTACACTTTGGATAAATGACACAATTTAGGTTTTATCGTCAATCCGGGTAAAGCTAAGTGTAAAAAAAGGGATAATTAGAGCGTAAAGAGCAGCGGAAAATGAGATCTTTACGCATAATAAAAAAGTGGGCAAAAAAATTCACGGGGGTTTTATGGTTCGCAGTTTGTTTTCATAAATATGAACGAGACAAGTTAGGCCTAGCCCGTTATTAACATTCTAAAGAAAATGTTAACTTTGTCACGTTAATATTCAGGTCGTCGGACGACTCGTTAACATTTCAATGAATAACGCTTTGAGTTTGTTAATTGCCCTCGCCCCTGAAGAGGATTCTCCTTTTGAAAGAAAATTTCAACTATGGGCTTCATGCCCGAGCAAACCTCATAATTCAGTTCTGTTGACTGAAAAGCACAAATATCTCTTTCGCCCCCCAAAACAAAAGCTACCACCGAAGGACTCGTCGTAGTAGTAGTACCCTAACGTTTGTTTAACTTCGTTCGGAAATCCAAACTCACTTCCCCCCGGCGACCATTTGTCCTTATTTGGACGTAATTGACAATATACAGCGCTTGGGACGCTATTGACGTAATCCGGATGTAACACAAACACTCTTGTTTACACATAGATTCTATTTCACTAAATCTTTATTTAAGTAAATCAAACATAGCAAATTTGATAAAGCATTAAATAATAAATTATTTTTGGCAAAGCCACAGGTATAAGTAAATTGATATTAACATCAATAGATAGGCAGTAACTGTCAATAGAAAAGCTTCGCCGACGAACGTTGGTTAGGATAGAAAGAGAATTCGTCCAGGCGAAGCTTTGCCCTCATTCTCATTCCTGACGTCACCAGTTATTAATGACCGCCTTTATCTCAGTCAGTCTCCAAATTGAGATGTCGTCGTTTCTGTCATAGTCGAATTACCGAATGAAGCGCCCATTACCGTCGCTACACTTCACGGTTCATTATTCGCATAATATTAATCTCCATAATCCGAGGGTGCCCACCTCCGCAATTATGCGCCACCTGAAAGAGGGTTTCAATCCGTTTAAATTTCTTTCGATTCGCTCTGTATAACCGTAGTTCTTTCGATGAGGTTTAAAAAGAAGGTCGTAGTGATATGACCACGATATTGCATTTTTATGGTAAACCATAAAGAACGAGGAACGGTCTCGTCGCAAACCAGACTTAATGAAGTCTTAAGAGATAAGAGATTAGGTCCTCATGAATAAACTAATATATGCAACGGATAAAGTTGAATATTTTATTCCGCCAAGAATCAGATTCTATTAAATTTTCAAGTCTGCTGAGTGAAAAGTTCTCGGTGTACAATTCACGTTACACGCAATTCTGAAGGGTTTCGAAATAAAACTCTCGCGTAACTTTAGTAATTAATTACGCGGATCGCAAAAAGTGCACCTTGCACACCGGCTCGGTTGTAAGTTTGGACATTGGCCAAAATCTATCGCGCGATAAATTGTGCCGCCCGTGTAACAATTGCCCAAGTTTTTGAAATATTCAGGGAGATCGAAATGGGTTATACCTGGTAAATAGAGTGAATTTATTTGAACGCCGACACCGGAACAAGTTAAACTAGTAATGTACGTAATTAATTGAAACGGTGTGTTATCTAGAGAATTGTTTATCAAACTTTAATATTAGATACTAGTGGTGAAACGAATATCCGGGAACTATCCGGTATCCGGCCTTTTTTATAATCCAGATAGTTATCAAATAAACCCATTTTGGCCTCATTTTAGGTTTTTATTAAAAACCTATTACTTAGTACTCCACCATTCACAGGAATTAGGATCTCTTTTCGACAGCCTATGGTAAGGGATTTTTCACAATTTTTGATTTCTCGTACTGTAGTTATGTAACTCCTTTCGGCATAATATACCATTCAGATTTTCTTTTAAGAAAATCAAACATTTATAAATGTACGAGTAAACGGACATTATTTTTGATTTTATAAAAAAAAAGCCTACAACTTTCTAGTTGATTTGCTTTGAACAGCGTTCTTACTGCTTTTTTCTGAATTAAGAGTATATGCTCGGCTCCTGGTGAACTTCCCCAAAACAGAATGCTATATGACACCACACTCTGGAAATTCGAGTAATATAGCACCATCACTGTTTGCAAATCTGTTAGGCTTATAAGTGTTTTAAGTTGGTAAATTACTGAGCTAAGTTTCTTTCCTATTACGTCCACTTGTAGATTCCATTTTAAAGAGTTTTCAAACTGCAGCCCCAGTAATTTAACTGCCGAGACGTTATTATTTGTTTTAGTACTAAAATCAATTTTTTGTGTCTTATTTTCATTCAGCTTAAGTTTGTTCATTTAAACCAATCTGATGCAATCTTTTGACTGAGACCTTCATTTTCGTGTAGCTCTTAAACTGTGCTAGATATATTTATCAATGTTGTGTCATCTGCATACATTATCGTTTTACACATGTTCAGAGTTTCCTGAAGATCGTCCACATATAAAAGGAATAAAATTGGACCCAAGATGGATCCCTGCGGTACACCGATTTCCACTCTTCTTATGGTCGATCTATAGATCAGAGAGAAATATATTCTTGAACGAAGATTATTACTCTCGGCTCAAGCTTATCATATTCTTGTATATCCACAAGAAGATCATTTTGTTGAGTGAAGAAAAACCACATATTCTCAAAACAAGTATACAAATATTCTTGATTCTCAAGAAAACGAATTCTTAGTAAATAATAAAAAGAGTATCTTAGTGTTGCGTCAACAAACCCATTTTCGTATTGAGAATAGATTTCTTAAGTCAAGAATAAGGTATCTTTCTTTTTAGAAAAACTTATTCATCTATTATCATTTCATCATTTCAGTATTATAAATTATTCACGCAAGAATGAATTTTTGATACAAAAAATTGATATTATTCGATGCTAAGAATATGACATACTTCATTCGATAATATTTCTATTACAAAAAAATATTTTTGTTTTAAGAGTATCTTATACTTGTTTCTAAGAAATACATTCAAGAATAAATTTTTTTTGAGAGTCAAGATTAATTTCCCTCACTGTATAATTACCAACTTGGGCTACCTGTCTTCAATTTTCTAGGTACGATTTAAACACTGTTATCGTGGGGTGTCTGATGCCATAATATTCCAGTTTCTCCAACAGTACCTTATGATTGACACAATCAAATGCCTTTGTAAGGTCCAACATTAGTGCCGAAATTTTTTTTCATTAAAACCAATGAGTTTGTTCTGCATGAGCAATGATTTGCTCATGTAGATCAATTAGAGCTTTAGATGTGGAGGATTTCCTTACATAGCCATATTGATGCTTACTGAAAACATCTTCCTTGTACAAATAGTCAAGAAGGCGCGATTTCAACAGATGCTCAAAAATTTTTGACATTATTGGTAAGATAGCTGAAAATTGTTAGGATCATTTACATCACCTTTCTTGTATATGGGAGATATTCTCGCAATTTTTAACTCATTAGGGAAAATGAACTGTTGAAAACATTAGTTAATAACAAT